CCGTCTGGCACAGTCATGAATACGACAACATACACACACGCACACACCCACCTTCCTCCCAACCCCCCCAATGCCTGTGGGCGTATCCACAATTCAGAGGGGCCCACGTTATGGGCCTGTAGGACGGGGCATACCGACATCATGCCGGGGTAAGGAACGAGGTACAAAAAAAAAAAAAAAAAAAAAAAAGGCGTACGACACAAAAAGCGGAAAGAAGGGAACAAAAGGGCCCCCGCTGTACAACGTCAATTTGGGGAATTTGGGGGTACAGGTGAAAATACTGTACGAACGATGCAGAGAAGATTATTATTATTATTATCATTATTTATTTTTAATTCTCCCCTTATTTTTTTGTTTTCCAAACTTCGCTTCTCAAATCTTTCATCATCTTTCTTTTTTCTTTTTTTTTCTTTTTTTGAACTACACTATGTTCTTCTCTCAAATTCTTTTTTTGCCTTTCACTACCTTCCTACCACTACTCAAATTCGCATGACCCCTGCGCTTTCAAGGATGACACGCATAAATCGAGAAATGGTCCAAAATTTTGAAACAAAAAAAAGGGAAAAAAAGAATGTGACCAACAGGAGATCTCTTCCAGTCAACATTTCACTGCCAGGTCGCATCGAGCTATGACCACGTCCATGTATTCGACGACACCTGGGCCGAGGTCCCATTAGCAAAGAGGATCGGATCGAATGACTGAATGTGGACGGTTGTATGCCGAGATGCAGAAAAGCAGTTCAATCACGATTTCCTGCAACTTTCGCCAAACACGTCCAGATTCAGCCATACGATCCGATCCTCTTTGCTAGTGGGACCACGCCCTTGGTATCTGTAAAGTGAATGAGATCAACTTCAACATACGACGTTGACCATTTCTCTTCGCCGTCATGTCCTCACTTTTTCCACCACGTGCCACAACCCCTCTCTCTCTCTCTCTCACACACACACACACACACACACACACACACACACACACGGGCGCGCGCGCGCACACACACCCCGTCATGTCCTCAGTTTTTCCACCGGGTGCCACAACGTTTCCCCCCCCCCCCCCCCCCCCCCCCCCCCCCCCCCCCCTCCATCTCTCTCTCACAGTCCCCCCCCCCCCCCCTCTCTCTCTCTCTCTCTCTCTCTCTCTCGCGCGCGCGCGCGCGCACCTAAGCGTCTACAAGCAGGCAAGCACGAACGCGGACGCTCGTATATAAACAAAAAGGCCACAGTGACAATACACGATCGCGTTTTGGAACAAAACGTACGGGTGAAAAGATGGACTGATGGGGAGAGGCCACAGAAGCCACCGGGAACACACAGCAAGCAGGCAAACCGAAAATCATGAACAAACAAAAGTCGGAAGGCATAACGACGAGCATTGCGCGCATGTAGGGCTTAAAGAACAATAACGACGAGAACTGGGCCCTTGCAGCAACACCAGTCTCGTTTGAAAGATTAAAATCAAAAATAAATTCAAATGCAGCAACAACCTCGGGTTGTCATCTCTTATCGACAGTGGCCATTCCTTGATTCACATCCTTATTTACCCACTCACGCCAACAAAATAAACACTAAACACTACTTCTCTTCGTTCCCTATCCCTCCCTTCCCCTCTTCTCTCCTCGGCTGACTGACCGTCTGCGGGCCCACCGTTCCGACAAAACCAGCGCTCAACGGGTATCGCCCCCCGCCGTCTGGACACGTGACATACACGGGTGGCTTGGTGGGGACCACGTGGCAGACACTCTGCTCTCCCACGGTCACACTTGCAAGTTGCAACGACTACGTGCCAACAATTTTGCGGGGACAGAAAACAAAACCCATCGCTCCACCTCCACCGCCTTCTTCTCTACCCCTCCAACCCCCTCCACCCCTCCACCCCCCTCTACCCCTCCCTACCCCTCACCGAGGGACCAGCCACAAGAAGGTGGCCGAATTAAGGGCAATTGGAAACTGGATTGGGGTCTAAGTTGAGAAATATGTCGACCATGCCGCGGCGGGAATGACAAGAGGCAATGATCGAGAAACAGAAACTCGGCCTAGTTAATTAATTAACCAATCAACTCTAAACTGCGGCAAGTCCTTCCGGGGTCTATCTGTCCCGGAGGTGACTTGAAAGCGCTCCATATAAACATAAACGCCACCGTCAAATCATCTTTCCCTACAAGTGCTCAATCACAGGATTCACAGCGACTGGCCGTGCCCTGGCTTTACTTTGCTGGAACATATATTTTTGTCTACAACATGTAGCCCGCTCCCCAACTAATCCAGGTCATAGTGGGGGCAAAACGGAAAACAAAAACCCAAAAAAAAAAAAAAAAAAAAAAAAAAAAAAAAAAAAAAAAAAAAANAAAAAAAAAAAAAAAAAAAAAAAAAAAAAAAAAAAAAAAAAAAACCTGCAAAAAAAAATCAAAAAGTAGTAAAAATTCGTAACGGTCTGGACTTCAGAACCTGTGGAATCTGAGTCATGTTGCCAGATTCGCCTCCGTCAGTTTATACCTTTACCACGGAACCTTCCAGTCGGAGGGGGTGAGGGGGGAAGGGGGGGAGGGGGGGAAAGGGGGGAGATGAGAGCAGGGGGGGAGGAAGAGGAAACAAAGCAACACGTTTCCAAAATACATAAATGTACATTGTGTGCTATCTCTATCAAAGAAAATGAAAAAACGACAGAGTACAGTGTATACAGGACGTCGTCTCCCTAGAGTCCAGAGCGCGGGAGAAGACCAGAGACCATGCGATCTGCGAGGCTGTTCCATGATACACCGGGGCAGTAACCACGTGGACATGGAGCCATAAGTCCGTGGTCCGTGTCGAACAACAGCCGTCGGAAGTGGATGACATCATGGCAGAAGGCCTATGCGGCACCCATTCACCTTAAGTGCCGCAACGGGCCAGAAGACTAAGTGTGAACGGAACGGATAAGAGAAAAGAGCGTCGAGAAAGGGAGTGATCACATGAATCCGGGCTGTTGTTCCAGCAGCCCTATCACCACCATTCTCCGGGCTCTTGTTCCAGCATCCCTATCGATGGGAAGGCCCCCGGAAGGGCGTTTCTGGCTCAGTTCAGCAAAGCGTTAATTCATTCGAGAAAGCATGCCAAGGCGGCATGCTTCCAAGAAAAAGCCATAGATGCATTAGAAACATCCCCTCGTTGATGCCATGCATTCCGGGCGCATGCAAAAGCACTCTCGACGTCAACAAAAGTTTTGAATCATTTATCGACGTTAGCCAGAGTCGCCCAGGAGACGTGTGCGCGCGGAGGCTTGGCACGCAAAGGCTCTCTCGCTCGGGCTTACCCGTAAACACACCTCACTACCACAGCAGCCCAAGCGTCGGCAATATCTCAGGCAATACTGTGAGCGGTTACATGTGAGGTCGGGATTGCGTGTGTGTGTGCTGTCTCTTATACACATCTAGATGTGTATAAGAGACAGGTACAAGAAGCTGTGAGGGGGCGTGAGGTTGCATATCACAT